ATTGTAGATAACCTTAAAAGCTTTATTCAATTCGACTTGATGACTTGTGTCAACCAAGTGACGGACCTGCCGAATTGTACACCCTATGTAACTGGCTCCACAGGAGCAGTTGAAACGATAGATACACATAGATTTGGCGAATTCAGGCAGTCTGTCTTTAATGGATGTTTTTATTTTCGGGTGGTTGTATAAGATGACATCTAATTTGGCAGCATTAAACGTTTTTTGTACAGCTCTTCGTAGTTTCTGAGTCATGACTTCTTCAGTGGTGTCATTTATGAATTGAAGTTTTATGATTAATACCTTCTTGGGGACGATGGGTATTTTTGTCCTTGTTTTCTTCTCCGTCATATGTTTGTCGATGAATTTCATGGGGTACCCATTCAGATTGAGTAGGTTCCGAATATTGTTTAATTCTTTTTCAATGGTATCTTCAGAGCAGATTATTCTAGCACGATATGTCAAAATCTTTATCAAGTTCCTTTTGTATCTGCACTGTGGAAATGAGTGTATTGACCTTCTGCTAACTTTCTCTATACCCTTCTTTTTGTAGTTCCGTCTGTTCTTCTAGTTAGTTGGACGTCTAGAAAAGATATGCTATTATTCTGTTCATCTTCTGGACGAACGTTGTTAAATATATTAAGTAAATTGTGTTTATCATTTTCTTTTTCTGATACTACGAAAGTATCATCTATATATCGATAATAAGTTGGTAAATGGGTAATTGTACTTTTAAGTGGTCCATTTTCCAGTTTTGCAAGGAAAATATTAGCCAGTAGAGGGCCCAATGGTGATCTCTTTTCCACTTTTTGCGGAATATATTTCGATTATGTAAAAAAAATTGTTTCTTGCCTCATTAAGATTTGTGGAAATCATAAACTCAAACGGTATTAGAATTTTAATTAACATTTATTCTGATCCATTACTAGTATTATGTCAAATTACCAGTTCTAACGAAAGTATAAAGAATTGAGATTTATGGACAAATGTCAAAATTACACAATTACTATTCATCCTGAAGTACTGTTTTATAACTGAGGATCCTATAATTATTAAAAAAGCATGTTTCATGATGCTCATTATGGTTACTGCAGATATTTCAGTGCCCCGTTCATTTGACTCTGATTTGATCGAATGATGATGTGAATGAAATACACATCCGGCCTAACCTTGTATACAATTATATACTTAATTAGCATTGGAGAATAACGGAATTAAATAAGTCATCTACGAGTATGAATATTGGTCACGTATATTTCATACTGTCCTTGGCTCGGACAGACAATATGAGGGGCAAAGAGAAGCAGAGAATGTGACTGTTCCAACTTAATTTGATCAAGCGTCATTTCATCTACGAATTAACAAAAGCCATTACTTCATATAATTATATAATATTGAATAGAGTTCAAATAATCTGCACTAATATTGTACCTAAATAGGGGACTACATATAATATGTAATTGATAATTAGAATTTACAAAGCTTGTAAATAGAAAGTTAGACAATAATCCTGACAGACTGAGTCAAAAATTTTATTTATTCATTTAGTCTTCGACCCAGTTCGTTTTTATTTACATTAAGTAGACAATAACCCATTAATACTTATCAGTTTCTAGGTTTTAATGTAGCTGGAATATTTCTACCTCTTCACTCTGATTGAATATTTTTTAGCAGCGCTGTTTAAGTTCAGTCGGCCAAATCACAATGCAGTAACCAGTTCAAGTGACTTAACGTCACATATACCATATTTCGATGTTAGTTAGTTGGGACTAGTCGGTAAGAAAACCTGGACCTAGATTTTGAGATAGTTAACCTACGTTAGAAAGGCGAACCTGTAATCTTGAAGTGGCTAAAGAACCCCATAAGACTCGCATTTCATTTAAGCAGAATCACAGTCTGAGATGTTACTTCAAAGTTGTATGTAGATTAAATGACCTTCTGTAAGATTGAGTTATATACACTGATCACTGTATAGTGACTCATGTCATTTTCGTTTAGTCTTTTTTGTTGGTTGAATTTCATGCCTTCCATTTTGAAATATGATAAAGGTTGTGGACTGGAGGTACTCAAGGCAGAGACAAAACAACTATGGAATGTATAGCTAACTTATCAATTTTTAGTATTCATCTGGCGATACTATGCAAAGAAAAGAAAATGAAATAAAAATAAAGAGAACTCAGAGAATATTTTTTCGATGAAATCGTCTAATTAGGCGGTACATCCGTATTAACAACTGTATGGTAAATATGTGTCTATTGAAGGACAAAGAAGATTGCACCACAAATTGATTCGAGACTCTTATTATCAAATGAGGTTACGTAATAATCAAGACCTAAGAGAAGAATATGAGTCTGGAAATAACTTAAGGGTCAGAATTACAGAAGATAATTTTCCACTTGACAGATATGAAGATAGACGAAAAAAACAAAGGTTTTAATAATAAAACTGAATAATAATCGAAAATTCATTGATTTAACTGAATAGTGATGTAGTTATTATAACTTCCTCCGTAGGAGCGGCTAATTCTGTTGATTCATATCAAATAGGCAAATCAGGTAACTTATCCCTTGTTCAAGTAAATACCATTAGTTGAATAGAAAATGTTTATTTACGTAATCCATTTTCTTTTTCTTTTTACTGACCCATAAACTGTCTTTATCGGTTTAATATATGCTAATTACTATTTTATATTAAAGTACAGTTTAATAAAGAACTAATCGGAAACATTAGTCTTCGATTGTATGCGTTATTCTACCTTAAAATAACGGGAATTTATTTTTTAACTCATCCTTATTTGAAATATATCAATGGAGATCATATAAACGACTGAAATTAGTCTATTTTGTTTTCTGCTTATTTTTTCTTGTAAGTACACCAACTAACTTTCAACTAAGAAACATTCAATGTTTATGGCTTAAGGATACGTAAATTTTTGTTTATTTATTTATTTAATTTTTTGTGTATGTTGTTTTCTGCTAGTGTTCTGTTTGTTTGTTTGTTTTGTTCTTAGGAGATGATAATTGTGGTAATGAGTATTATTGATTTTCTCTGAAATAAATTCATTCAAGCATTAGTTTACTTTTCATTTAATTGTCCAGCTATATATTAGTTATTCATTTTATTTGTTTATTTAAGAATAATAATGATAATAAATAAATAAATAATAATAACAAAGAATGATGACGTTAGTGTTCGATCAGATACAACAATCATAGCAATAATAGTAATAATATATACGAATATTCGTCAAGATTAGAACGAATAGTTTGACAGTAATTGAGCGCCAAGTATAGAGAAGTCATACTATGTGAAAATTATATTATATTATATATTATATATTATATTATTTCTCAGCGATTGATTTTTAACTAATTCCAACATTTTGATTATTACCCTGAGGAAGACAAGTTAGCTGGACGAAACGTTGGGTTTAGTTAAATTTCAATCGCTGAGCATATTTCAAATGTAATTTTCACATATAATAGTAATAATAGTTTCTAATGATAATGATTCAGGAGTATGAAATTCCGCAATAAATCATCTTGAGTCATTTACATCATATTTGTGTTTATTTATTTATTGATAAGAACCATTGAAATTTTTATTAAAATTTAATTTCTTGAAAATACAATGAGAATTTTCATTGAATCCTAGGAAAATGGTTGGCTACAGAATAATAATTTTTTTTAAATATTACTTGACATTTGAAAAATTAAAATACCATTCAAAGTAAGTGTGTTTACGACAATCTTGTAACATTCCGACAGTACAATGAGAAGACGAAGTTTATCAGAATTATGTGATATATTTGCGCAATACATTTCGAATAATCTGATCACACCTAATATACGTTTTAAGAACATTTATATATGGAAATTAAAAGGTCAACTAGACAGGTTAAGGGTAAGTCATAACAAAGGAAAAATAATGATGTACACAAAAACAAACGTGATTACCACTTTGGATAATAAATCAGTAGTACCAGGGTAAGTTAATTGTAAGGACAAATTGTTTATGAACACGTGAAAAGGGTTTCAATTTGTAACAGTCTAAGCCTCATTGTCAACCAATTAAAGATCAGCTGATATATATGACAAATTTAGATTCAAAAAATGAAGAGCATAGAATTGGCGATATGTATGTATTGTTTAAAATTTCTTTATGAAAAAAACTAATTCTTAAGACATTGATAAAACTATTTATCATTATGATTCGAATTGTAATTAGAAATTAAGTCTCAGAAATATTGTCAAGAAACAGAGAATTAAGTAAAGAATTGTGAATTATGGAATATCAGATGGAGTTTGTGAGACCGATAGGTCCTGGGTTCGAATCTCGCCGGATGCGGGATCATGGATGCGCACTGCTGAAGAGTCCGATACTAGGACGAAACGGCCGTCCAATGCTTCCAGGTTTTCCATGGTAGTCTAGCTTCAATTGACTCATGATTTCAATCTGTGAAATTATGGAATAATACTAAATTTAATTGTTAGAGCAATGTCTAAAATACAATATCATCAAAACAGAAAAATTCTATGTACATTCTATAACAAGAATCTATTGATTTCTGTCTAAATTAAAAATTGTATGAAATATATGTATTCGAAATTTATTCTTGTATTTGACTTATTTAATTCCATTATTCACCAATCCGATCTAAGTAGATGATTATATAGGAAGGTAGCCAGGATGTATATTTCGACAGCAGTTATTCAATAACAATCATTCATACGATCCAAATGAAGTCAGATTTAAGGCCACTAAAAGTCAAACTAATATATTGCTTTCATCTTCTAACTTTATCATGCGATAACTCTTTATAGCTGATAAAATTTTCAATCTAAGTGAAGTAGTTATTCGTGTTCATCTGTCCTTAATATAGAACTAAATTACATGATTAATAAATTATAATACTATTGTTTTTTTATTCATTTAAAATATTTTTATTTAAAAATATACTTAACTAAATTTTGTTTGAATTTTTCATTTTTTTGATTAAGAATAAAGCATGTGGTTCTTTTTGGTGAAGGTGCTGGAGCGAACATTTTGGCACGGTTTGCAGTAAGTTTTGTGATTTATCACTTATGAATATGTAAATTGATAAACAGTATTATTCTATCATAAATATATTTCATACTTGGTTAAATATTTACTAGAAAGATTACTTGTACTTTTTTATGTATGTGACTAGAAAAAACCTCACAAAACTGTTTAAACAATATCTGTTCCCATATGTCACTAATGTGACTTTAAATGGTTGTGATGATACATAGGATTGGCTATGTAACATTGCTCATCAACTAATAACTTAAAATTTAAAACCTGTACGTATGTTATAGTTGACCTAGCGATGATATATGTTGCCCATTTATTGATGTCATATCTAGTTGAATGTAAGTGATAATTGAATTTATCTAAAAGCTATATCAAGTTATAACTATGTGATAGCAAATAATTTGAATGACTTACTCATACATCGATTCTGGGTAGGATATTTGTGACATAGATCAGTAACACGTTTTTAGCTAATTTACTATGATTTATGATCAGCGACAGTTAAACAATCTTTTAACAAGTCACGTGAAAACTTACAACTTGAACAGTATAAAAATACTACGAATATGTAAGTTACTAATAACAGTACCTTCTTCTTGCACAATTTCCTTTTTGTGCTTCCTTATAGTAGATATAGATACATATTCTTGTGTCATTTCCTAAATATTATTGATTCAATTATCATACTTTCTTTCGAAATGTCATTCTATACATCATTTTTTCTCTCATCCTAGTGTCACGTTTTGACCAACCTTTGCTTGATATTCAGTGTCGTGTATTAGCATACAATATATGGAAGTATTATACACTTACAATTGTTACAGTTCAGACAACAGTTAATTTAAGTTATATTAATTTATATTGTAACCGATGATAATGACTTGCCTATGATTTATTCGTTTCCATGTATATGATAACTGAACCAATTTATGTCTTTGTATGAAAAAAATAAAAAGATCCATTGAAAGTATTATGTTGAATGGTGTGCGTTTCTGATGCACAAGCTTTTTATACCCAAATCCAAATAGCTACTTGAATGAGAAGGACGAGAATGGGAAGACAGCTTTATTGGCCAGACTGAATGGAAGACTAACTATACAAGCATTTAATAGAATGAAAATAATGAGGAAACAACTAACTATTAAATCGTAAATCATACACCAATAGGTAGCACAAACAAGAAATAGTTCTGAGAAAAAACAATCACTTTGAAATTCGAAACTACGACATCTAGAATAATTTAAAAAACAGTTACTGCTGAATCATTTACAAAAATAATAATTTGTCGTGTCTTCAAACACTTTTATTACGTGTGCTGAATCAACGTCTGAAATGCTTCCTGGAATAGTAGTTTAGACAAAAATGTTCAAACCAAAACTTTGCACTGGTTCATGAAGCCGATGACTGTATGGTTGGGCCACGATAGTAGATGCAGACTACTAGCCTAGTGTCAGCCTAATCATAATAACTGTTAGTCGATGACGTTGATCACAGTGGCAGAGATATATTTGCATCTCACCTACAGTGTATTTTATACCGTAAATTAATTCTTTCCCCCCAAATAATATTGTTTACGCTTAAAATTTTTTATTACAGATGATACTCTAGTATTTAGTTGGATTATTTAATCTCATTATACTAGCATGATATGTTGATAAATATCAATGTACAGATATCACGAGTCCTACTTTGATTACGATTGACTGGATTTTAAAGGTAGTCTAGAGTTTAATTCAGTCCAATAACAAGTGAGAATAGAATCTCAGTGCCTCCTAGTTTCATATTTACTGATATCCACTTAAAGTTCAGTTCCTGTTTGTTTTCTTCCTGCCTGTTCTTTTCTTTATAAAGAAAAGAACACCAGAAATGAAAAGGAGATTAGCTGTCTAGTTTCTATATATTTTCTGAAGTAAAAAACCTATTTCAATGTAAGCGAAAGTTAATGTAGATAAAGTGCTCAGTGATATCATTTCTATTTTTAAGAACATTGGCCAAGGATTTCAAAGTTAAGTTGTATAGAATACTTTCATTAATTTTTTAGTTCATTTTGTTGGTGTGTAATGCATAACGGAATATGTGTTTACTGAATACTTTTTTTCAAAATTCCGAAGTTATCCTCAACTACGCGAAGAACATTTCAGTGTGGTCTAGCTTATCACATCGGAAGAAAAACAAAAGTTTACTGAAGTTTAGGGCTAAAAGTGGAAATTCTCATGAAGAACACAACCTAACATATCAGCCAGCTGTCCATATGGACATTAATTAACTAATGTTTAAATATGTAGCTTCAAGGTAAAGATTCGATTATATTCATCACACAAATGTCGATTTTTTGCTCAATATTTGAAGTATGGAAGCCAGAAATGAGCGAATGATACATTAATTACTTGAAATATATCTGAATCCGGAATACTGAAACGGATGAACAGGTGTTTTTTTGGAAACGTGTTTAATGATTAATATGATTGTGCGTTACACTTTCACTCTTGTTAGAGCAATGTACTTCATTTGTAGTATTTAGATAGATACATCTAAAGAATCAATAGACTTTTTTAAGTTAAATAAGAAGCATCCATCATCTCGAAACATTGATTGATGTTAATTCCATCAGTTGTAATTTATCATTCCGTAGACAGTTTGAGAAGTATTATGAACTACGATTCATTCGTTATTTTCTCTCACTTACATGGTGTTATTTAGAACACCATACGAAAATAATAGTCCTTCTAACAGTATCGACTTTTTTAGATTTAATGGTCATAATAAGTGGTGGTCAGTAATAAAATTTATATCAAAGATATACTAATAAATAAATCTGCCATCCTCTCTCAGTAAATTAACTCTTAGTAGAAGGAAAAGATTACAGTAATCAGTAATTTATTGATTGTGAAACACTATGTATTTCTTTGATAATCTTGTTTTTGATTACCTTGAAGAAGTCCAGACAAGTTAACTAGACGAAATGTTGAAACTAGTTAAATTTCAACCGCTGAGATTATTTGAAATATAATTTTCACATGCAGTAATTAAAGTTGTCAAAGAGAAATCAACAACTTATAAAATATATGCATAGTAAATCAGCATAGAATAAATTATCACTATAAGGTGACTGTTTGATTAAGTGGGTTTTTTAACCATCCTGGAAAAAGTTCCAACCATAAAGAAATATTGATCAATTATTTCATTTTCTGATAAATAAAACGAGATTTGAGTTTTAAACGGAACAAAAGATTGCCTATTCCAACTGTTTATCTAATCCTGTGTATAGATATCATAATTACCAAGGTAAATAAACTCAGATTTGATGTTTCCAACCTATATATATATATGTATATTGGTTTAATAATCAATATTATTTTCTAAAAGAATCATCATTGTAAAATTGTAAACTGGTCTAAATAAATAATAGGACATTTAAAAAATCTGATTTTTGATCAATCTACCCATAATCCTTCTCACCCTAAAATTGAGATTTAAAATCTACACCTAATTGTTCTGTGTCCTTTCTTGTATCCGTGAGAATAAACATATGTTCACTATTAAATTGTTATTGGTGATTTTTTCTATTATTCTCTTATAAAAATTAATGAATAAGAAAATCTTACTGATAATTTATTCGACTGATATTACCGGCTAAATAAATATTAAAAAAAACAAGATAAAAGAATGTTACTTTGAACATCTGGTTAAGTTTTGGTAAGCAATTATTTGATAGGTAATATTTTATTAGGAGGGGTTTTGTGGAGATTTTCGCGATTGATAGGTCCTGGGCTCGAATCTCACTGGGGGCGGGATGTGCACTGTTAAGGAGTCCCATACTAGAACGAAACGGCCGTCCAGTGTTTCCAAGTTTTCCATGGTGGTTTAGCTTCAATTGATTCATGGTTTCAAGTATAATATTCATTTTCAGATTAAATGGGATTCGCTAACTTCTGTTCAGTAGTAATTCATCGTTAAAACCTATTTAACGTATCTGAATGAAAACGTTTTTTGTAAACCTGAAAAACAAAAATAGAAACTAAAAAAGATGGCGAACTAACAAGTGTTAATCAAAGGCTAAAATGATTCAAATACCACTTCCCACTTAAACATTTAAATTCAAATAGTTTAATGTTACGCAGTTATATTAGTAAAGCATCTAACAATACTCTACACATTATTCTAGGCGGTATCAACGCGGCAGTTATCCACTGATGACACTGGATGATGATGGTGCAGTGTTGAGAATCAATTAAGTTACAAACCTGAACTATTAAATGTTAACTCGGTAGTCTGAAAGTTCAGTTCTCGCCATGAGTCCCGAAAGTTTCGGGTTTAATGCGGTCGCGGATGCACACTGCCAAGATGTCCTATATTGAGATAAAGTAGCTGTTCAGTAATTCCTGGTTTTTTAATGTTAATAAGTAATGTTTCATGAAAGAAATCATAGTGTTTTGCAAACGTGAGCTTACATAATTTAATATCTTACATGGAGAGAGCGACTGTCACCATGTCCCAAATCAGAATACTCTAACAAGTATAACTCGTTATCTCTTGACTAATAACAGTAATCAAAAATTTCTGTGCAATAAAACATCTATCTGTTTATCGACTTTTATTGTCTACAAGCGTTCTCAAATGTTAATGCTTGTAAAACTAGCTATTAATGTCCAGAGAACATTGAAAAATCAATGTAAATTCCAGTGAATTATAAATATAGGATGGAGTCGAATTCTATCATTTTATGCTTTACATGATCAATATCAACCTTTAAAATGAATAAATGAATGTTATTAGACGATTATTGATAGTACAACACACACGTTTTTACTTCAAGTTAGAAAGTAAATCGTAGTGAAAAAGACATGTGTTCTTTCGTATTCGAGACTTATTAGCTGGATCTACGTACATCTCATTGTTGATTTTTACACTTGAACTCAGCCTATTTCAATCTCACTGCTGGCCACTATCCAACTAAATAGCAATATGGAGTCGATGAGCTCAGGATACGCAACTGCTGAAAGAAA